CTATGGCCACACTCGTGAAAAAAATCATTTGCACCGCCAAGGCCCCCGCGGCACTGGGTCCCTACAGGTGCGTCCTGGCGGGGGGGACGTCTCTGGAGGAAGCAGCAGCGAGCGGGAGCCGGGTTTGCCGGTGGGGTTTCGAGCGGGTCCCTGGAAGGGGGTGTCTGTCAGGCAGCCCTGAGGGCGAGGTCGAGGTCCCCTCGAGCAGGGTGTGTCCTGGTCGTTTTAGGGCAGGTTAAGGAATAAGTTTGGGGAAATAATTCTGAGATTAGTGATAAGTAGTCAGTGAAGAAAGTTCGCTGCTTGGGAGCTGGGAATCTGGCCTTACTGTGAATGTCACTGCCAGCAAGTTAGAAGTGCTTTTCAACCTAAAAACTACCTGTTGTAAAAATATAGGAGATGTTGCTCAACGTTTTCTTGAGTAAGCTGGTAGTTGCAACGGTTCTGAATGTAATTAGAAGGAAAAAAAAAATCCCAGTTTTGATTGGAGAAAGGTTTCTCTCCACTATTTGGATGTGAAAAAAAAAATTCAATAACTATAGTAGACTGAGTAGAGTACTGAGACACAAGGGCATTGTGTAAGAATTTTTAATTATGCATTCAGGCTTTGTTTTCCAAATATAAACAGACTCCCTTGGTTTACACTTTTCCCCTTGTAGCATTTTAGTGCCTTCCAGGTGCTTATTTATTTCCATTACTTTGAAATCAAGCTTTCTGAGCTTCAAACTGTGTATTCTTTATAGGAATTAGGAAGACAAAGAAATGCAAAGTGTAGAAGCAGAAAGACATGAGGTTGAGCTTCTGTGAACAACAAACTGTGGGTGGGTTGCAGCCGGGGGCCTGGCATCCCTTATGGTTAGGAGAACATCTAAGAGATGGGAAGGCACCAGTTCTTTGCCTCCACACATGCAGCACTGGCCTAGCCTTCATCATAGCTCTCCACTTCTGTTGTGGATCAGCTGCTGACAGTTGGACTTGATCTTAGAGGTCTTTTCCAACCTTAATGATTCTGTGATTCTATAACTGCCCTCCAACATTTTGTGCTTACTGATAACTCTTGATGAAATTCGGCTTCTTGTGCAGTCTGTTAATCATACAATGGGTCTAACACCAGTAAGTTTATCACTAACTTATTAGTTTATCAGGTTTCAGTAAACTTGTCAAAGTCCAATGAGCAGATGTTGCACAAGAAATAACTGTTATACCTCTGCAGTGGGGCCCGAGCATGGAAATAGAGGAATGAGGGCTTAATATGGAATGGAGAATTGGAATGCATGGGCTGCATTCCTGGTTCTGATACAGCTCCTCTGCATATTTTTTGGTGACCTATTTTTACTGTATTTTTGTATTTCCTTTACTGCATCCACTTTCCAGTACCTTGAGATAGGTACGTAGATAGCTACATAAAAAGGCACATAGATGGGAGTGTGCATGTGTGTGTATATCTCATTAAAACTATTAAACTTTTTGAAAGACATGGCAGAGATCCTGTTCTTTTATTAATCAACGACCATTTGCACAAAGAAGATTTGCTTAACTTTGCAGTCCCTGCCTGGAAAGAGCACGCTTCTCAACACCATCTCTCTGATGGATGATGTTCTTCTAGTGTCGTAATGTCCATCCAGTTACGTACCTAGGTAGACTGAAAACTGAATGACTTTAGGCACACACTCAGACCTCTGCTGAATCAGAGATTAATGAGTAGCTACAATTGACCCTAGTTACAGGATACATCTGCAGTTAAAGTGTGGTTGGGTTTGTGTAGTTGAAGTTTCTCTGAGCTTCACTCACATGTTTGGCCGCAGTAGAAGTACGCCTTTTAGTTGGTAAAAGTGGTTAATGGTCTCGGTGAGCAGAAGATTCTACCAGCCAGCAAACCAAGAGAAGGAAGTTGAGAAGCAGAGAAGGGAACCCAGTAAGACTGCTGCAGATGCTTGTTCAGCTTGTTTTCTTCCCTAATTGTTCATGATTTAGGACTGTCCAAAGGCCATTGTTGGTATAAATGTTTTGTTGTGTCACTCTCTTCATAATAAGCAGAACAAGACAATCTCCTGTTTTAGAGAGCTCATACTTTTTTGTTGCATGGTTCTCTATGCTTCAAAAAGAAACAGAAGCTTATGATCTGAGGGCCTGAGCCTCAAACAAACCAGGACATGGTAGGAAAGAAAATAAAATTAAAGAAGCACAGGTGTTTGGTTCATACACATTTTCTATCTCAGTTAAGGTATGTAATGAAAGTGTTCTCTGAAAGATTCCCTTTCTTTTTGCATGGATATTAAAGGAAAGCTAACCTCCTAACTTAGATACTTGAAGGAGGTTCCTAGCTCTAGTTTGTGTAACTGGAGAGGCTTGTTGAACTGTCAAAACAATGCATTTTCTTGTAGAAATAAGAAAAATAGTGTTGACATACCACAGATGGTTTCAAAAGAATCTTTCTGTAATTTCTTTGCAAAATATTTTTGATTACCATCCGAAGAGAAGTAACTTGTTTTTTTTGAATAATATTTGCTAGGTAGTTTGGACCTTTGCTTTACTCTCTTTCTGGTAGTTAGAGACATCAATAACTGCCAACTCTACACCTGACATTTATATAAAAATGTTTTGCAAATAGCTTGAATTCTGCATTCTTCTGAAGTGACCCAGCCAACAGGTCAGTTGGGTTGTTTGGTGAGAGGAGAGCGATTGTTCTGGGAGTGGAGTGGTCGAGGCATTGTGCCGACTCGCCAAATTCATGACTCTGAAGCAATACTGCGAAATAACTAGTGTGCAGGGCTGCACCTCACAGCTCTCATTCATTATCATGGTGCTTATTTGAGAAGGAAAATGCTACATTATCTAATCAGCCCACTTTTTATCTTCCTCCCTTTCTTGCCTTCATCACTCTGCAGCTGAGATGAAGATGAGAGGTATCGTCTCATCCTAATGCTCAAACTAGGATGGAATGTTTGTCTGGGCAGATGCAGAAAATGTGTTTATTCAGCCTGCCTCCTCTCTGTGCTATTTGAAGAGTGGAAGCTGTGTTGCTGAGTTTAGTGTTGTGTTGCTGTACGCATACCTTATGCCTTTGCAAGAAACAGAGTTTATTTCCTCAAAACAGAGCTATGTGCTTCCATGGGTAGTCTAGTCCCAGCTCTCACAAAAGCATAAGCATGTTGAATGTATGACTGTATGTACAGACTTGTGTGTCCATAACCTCAGGCCTCAATTTTTCTGAGGTATTATAAACTACTGAAGAAAATGTGAAACATGCTTTCAGGTAGTTAAATGTTTTGATGGGAAGATGTTACACTTAAAACATCACTTGTGTTTTCAGCCAAGCAGTGCTGGTAGACCGGACGATGTACATCGCAGGGCAGATAGGTATAGAGCCTTCCACTGGGCAGCTTGTCTCTGGAGGAGCAAAGGAAGAAGCTAAGCAGGTAAGATGTCATCTAGCAATAAACTTGTAATGCAGTTGGCATGTGCTTAGTTAAACATGGACTTTGAGAAATTGGAGAGACCTAGAGAGCACACTTCACATCCTCCAAGATGAAAAAATCATAGAATCATAGAATGTCTGGGCTGGAAGGGACATCCAAAGGTCACCTAGTCCAACCCCCCTGCCATAAGCAGGGCGAAAAAAGGGAGGAGGAAGTAATTCCATCCTAACCCTGTCATCTTCCACCCAGACAACTTGGAGTTTGGGGGAGGAATTTGTATTTCATGTAGGAAGCTGGAAAGAATCAATGTTTGTAACGAAGGTTCAGACCCAGGTAGAGACCCTGGCTTGAGTAAGGGAAAGATTTGTTCCCCCAGCAACAAAGGGGTGATATGAGGCAATAGGATGAGATGGAGCTGCGCCATGCATTTACATCTAATTAATGGGTAGTTTAATATTTGCAGTTTATTAGAAACTCCCTTTTCTTAATTGTGATTCTGCTCACCCACGGAGGGCTGTTGAAGAGATGCTGGGTGAATTGTATAGCATGGATGCAACCAAGTTACAACTCAGTTACGTACTTACCTAAATACAGCCCAGCTGGCAGTTAAAACACTTTTGTCTCCTTTTTCATTAGGCTTTAAAAAACATGGGAGAAATCCTGAAAGCTGCAGGCTGTGACTATGGCAATGGTAAGTGCTGCTGTGATGGTGGCAAACAAGTGGTTGTTTTTACCTGGATGAAAAAAAAGTTGTGACCTTTAAAAAAAAAGCTTGCTAAACATTCAGTTGTTATCAATAGCTGGAAGAAACAAAATGAATGATGAGTCTGGGTTAAAAAACTAAAAGAAATAAACCAACATGCAAGCCTTTGCAATGGGTATCAATGGAAAACTGCCTTTCAGTTTGCCTAATACCAAAAGTTGCTGCCCATGGTACTAATATTTTAGCCCTGAAGTTCAGGTATAGACAAAGCTGCAGCTGACTGCAGGCCTTTTAAGCATCCTAGGCTTTGCTCCACATAAAAGCAGGCTTGTGTGTATGGTGTTAATACCCTAGGTGCTTTCAATACTTTTTTGGGGGGGAGAACTCTTAATAGTGGAGCCAAATGAGGATTAAGGCTGGCTTGGACGGTCATAGGTCAAAAATGCACAGACTATATTTTCAGGCATTTTATGGACTTCTTTTGCAGCAGGTAATATGTATGATATAATTTATAGCCAACAGTTGGCTTACAACAACTTTTTTTCATTCATCTGCTCATTAGTTCTGTGCATCTTAGAAGAATTTGGCTAAGAATGAAATTTAAAACAGTTATTTTCAGAGCTGGTCAGGAAGGTCTAATTCTTTAATGTTTTATTACATACTAAGTATTCAGATCTTTTAGGTGATTCTCTAGGTGGAAGCTCTAATGGCAGTATCTGTTTTCTAAACATTTCAAAATGTTTAGAATACTTGAGAGAAATTTATGAAATAAAAGCAAGAAACGCAGTGAATATTTTCAACTTTTGTATACAAGTCAGAGGTCTAAAGTAACTGCAGTTATGTAATTTCTAGTTGTGAAGACTACAGTTTTGATGGCAGACATGAAGGACTTCAATGATATTAATGATACTTACAAGCAATGTAAGTAGATCTTTCGTTTCTGTTTTACCTGTATGGTTCATTGAACAAATATTCACAGTAAGCAAAGTGATCTAATGACTCAGATGATGTCACCTTTGAGACTCCATCTGAATATATATTCTATTGAAACAGCCTTTCCCCCTCACCCTGTTCTTTTAATATCCTTCAGTGTTAGGCCTGCTTGGTAACAGAGGAATAGGTCAAGGGTCCATTTTTCCTCTGCCTTCCTTTGATAAGGCTGGCCCACTGCTGACTTTATATAAATCTGGGATCTTTGCTCTTGACTTTTTTGGCAGGGGCCTGTTCCTCCCTCTTGCTCTTTCTGTGAAGAGCCATCTCCCACCCTCTGGTGTTTGTGACTGGATGACCACCATTCTGATTTAATCTTTCTTTTTCAGCCAAGCTGGTGTTAATGCCATGTGGCATCAGAGTGCAAGTTACCACTGGCCACTAGGTCACAACTGTAGATGGCTTCTTAGAATCATAGAATCCTTTAGGCTGGAAGAGACCTTTAAGATCATCAAGTCCAACCATTAAGTCAACACTACTAAGTCCTCTGCTAAAACAGATCAGAATCTGTCAGGGTTGGAAGGGACCCCAAGGGTCACCCAGTTCCAACCCCTCTGCCATGAGCAGGGACACCTCCCACTAGATCAGGCTGCCCAGAGCCTCATCCAGCCTGGCCTTAAAGACCCCCAGGGATGGGGCCTCAACCACGTCCCTGGGCAACCCATTCCAGGGTCTCACCACTCTCATGGGGAAGAACTTCTTCCTCACGTCCAGCCTGAATCTGCCCACTTCCAGCGTTGCCCCATTCCCTCTAGTCCTGTCACTACCTGATACCCTAAAATTCTTGATGAATGGCTTGCTGAGATGTTAGAGCACTCACTGACCAACAAAAACTAACAAGGGGGCAATGATACCTAGCACAGAAGGGTGTTTGTCTTGTAGCCTTGAACCTGAAACTGTTCCCATGGCTACATTTTATACAGATTACTTTGAACTGTGTTTTATCAAGCAAAGTGAAGTGATTTCTGGATGTTACTGTTTTAAATTACAGTTTTCAAGACAAACTTCCCAGCCAGAGCAGCCTATCAGGTTGCTGCTTTGCCCAAAGTAAGTGTCACTTTTCTGCCTATAAAAAAAATTAATTTTCTGTAATTCCTTACTTCTGAAGCATTCTGTCAGCTTTTCTTATTCTGGACTAGCTTCAGTTGCAATTATTTTAATGAAGACTCTTAAGTGTTTAGGTTTTTTTTCCAAGTATACCAGTCTTATTCCCACACATTAGGGATCTGAATCTTAAGAGAGACATTTCTTTATGGTGGAAAACAGCTACAACACTAGAAATAAGGGGTTATGGTACTTAAGTAAGAGTAAAGTGAATTTTCAATATTACTTAACATTGCTACATTAGTGATATAACTGTTAAATAACAAATATAATAAATATACAATAACAAATATATAATTGGATGTGTTCTACATCCAATTGCTTCATAAAATAGATATATTAGATTCCTAATACATTTCTTCATTGTTTTCGGACAGGGTGCCCGAGTTGAGATTGAAGCTATTGCTGTTCAGGGACCCCTCCAAGATGCTTCAGCCTGACTATAAATAGAGACTGAATATCCTACGACAGCAGTGTTAGATTTAGTACTTTTCCCTTACATCCTATTCCTACAGATGGCTGTTAACAATTACATGCAGCTGAAATCAGAAAAGTTACCAGGGAAAGGTGTCTTCTTCTGGATTGTGGCCTTGGAGTCTCTAAAACACGAGCTTGCAGTGAGTCCTCTGCCAGCAAACCCTGAAACCTCCTGCAAAAATCAGCTGAGCTTGATGGCAGGACAGGGCCCATACTTTGTGGTGGTGACTAGATACTTGGGTGTTAAATGTTTGGGTGAATGTATTGATAATTATATGATGGGTGATCTGAACACAGAAAACTGTAATGATTTGTAATAGTAAGTTTTTTGTAACAATTTTAAATAAGAAAAAAATTACAGAAATAGGAGAAAGAGCACTTGAATCTCTTTGCATACATCTTCACTTTATTTTGGGGGAATTTGTTTCTCAACTGCCTTAAACTCTCTTTTCAGAATAATTACTGTTGGGACTCTTTTTTTCATATGGAAGCAATTGCTTAAGAAAGTCAATGCTAATTTCAGAAAGAAGAAGATTATGCTTTTCTGCTAACTATAAATGAGCCGTACATAAATCTCTACCTGTAACCTTTTTCATATTCTTTTTCATAGCAATTCAACTTTGACTATCTTTTGATTTAAAACAAAAAAATAAAAAAATCCTGTTTAAGAATAAATCATAATTGCACCTGTAAAACTGTGCTTTTTTTATTGTAGGAACAAACTTTTCTTTTCCTGAATATGCTTTGATACTCCATTACAAAAACATCTCTATCTTGCTTATTCAGTAAGAAATAGATAAAAACCCTATTCTTTTAGTTTAAGTTGTCTCCTAATAGCTAAGAATGAAAATAAATCTCCAAGGCAAACTCTTCAGCTACACCATGGCATTACAGTTCTTGTCGTTTCGCTCTCTGCTGTTAAGGACAGAAGTATGTGCTTGTTGGGGTGATTAAGCAATATTGAGAAGTCAGACTGGTGATGCTACTAAGTCATCCCATCCCTTTGCATTTATTTTCTAATCAAGTAGAAATGGGTACCATGTTTTTAAGGAAGTAGTTTGAAAGTCAGCTACCTCATGGTAGAGTTGGATTCCCTGTCTTTCTCATAGCTGTATGACTAAGCACAGTCTTGGTGTATTCAGGGGGAAATGAGCAGAATTCTTTTCTGTTGTAGCCTGTCCACCCCAACGTTTTTGTTTCGTTCTCCTCTGTGAAGATGGCCATCCAATTACTTATGGTCCCAACGCTGTGGGTTCAGCTGTCCAAAAACTCGGATCCAAGCCTCAGTTCTCCTGCATGTGTATCCCTTGTTTTCTGTAAGCAATGCCAACTGATGATCATCCCACATACTTCTAATTGGTTAATGATTTTCATATGGTAAGCACGCAAGAAAAATCCAATCTGGCAGCACTGTGTTGCTGCCTCCCTTTGCATGGCATGTGCAGATGGTGCCTTGTCTGAAAATCCCCCTGCATTCAATACCACAGCCACATTGTGTCAATCATCTTCCATCCTTTGATACACTGTTAAGTGTCCGACTTGTGTTTTCTTACCTTGCTGCTTCTCAGCTACGTTTTCCAGCTCACACTACTTCAGCTGCACTATTGCAGTAAGTGTGTTTTGTATTTTTCACGCATTCCTGGTATCACTTTAGCATCCAGTTGGAAAGTGGTGAGAACAGTCAGCCCTACTTAGCCTCCTAGATGGGGCCATTTCTCCTGCATTTTACTGACCTTGTACATTGTGTCTTTATAGAAAAAAAGATTAATAATAAGGTTGTTGCAGCAAGTGTGTGCATATGTATGGATTTTTTTTACAGCATTATCTTGCTTTCCCTTGACAAAATGGGACATACTTATTTTTATTAGAAGCATCTTGCTTTTGGTGTTTCAAAGCAGTCCATTTCCAAGCAACAACCTTTGAAAGGTACCTGACTTTTCTGCATATACAGTTTGTACATACAGATGTTATTAGTCAGGTTTCTGCTCTTGTTCTCTCTCCTTGGCTATATTAACAGTGTCTTTTGTGCTCTGCAGCTCTGACTGAAGCAGCAACCCCACCTAAATAAAAACATGACCAGACTTTTTAGGAAGGAGCGAGTACTAACATGGATATAACTTTCTAGGAAACACAGAGCAAATATTGCTTCTCTTAATCAGTTAGGAATAATGCAATTGAATGGGATTAAATTTAAACAGATTCCGAATTTGTATTTGTGTTTCTGTGTTGCAAGCTAAGTTTGGCCTCCTATAATGACTATGGTTATCCCTTCTTACCTCCTATGCTCTCCTCCACTGCCTGCCTTGTGCTGTGCTGCTGCTTTGCCAGCTTTCAACCCAACACTAGATGGCAGGTTTAAATTTTTTTTTCCTTTGTGCCGACTTGTCCATTTGCTGATATAAGTCCTATACAGAACACCTCTGGGTGATGTCACTGATACAAAGGGGTGTGAATGCACCACTGCTTTTGCAGTAAGGTGCAATCTGAGACTGAAATGTAAGCAAAACACCTGGGGGGAAAAATGTGTGATGCACGAAGCTAACAAGACAACACATCACTTTCATTAAAAATGTTTCTATTAGTAAGTAGATGTCATTCTGCAAAATGCGTGGAACTAAAATCCACTTTTAGCTCGATGGTTCTTTAGCTTTTAGCTGGAGACTAGTTGCACAGTTTCTTGAAAGGCTCAGATCTAAGTATATTCTTCAGGTACAGGAATTCTAGAACAACTGAAATAAACTCTTATTTACAGCTACAACAACAGTTCTCAGCATAAACAATCAGTTTTCCATAGAGATGTTTAAAACTTTTATTTTAAGCAGAGTACTTGATTATTATTTGATTCTATTCTTTAAAACAAAAAGGCTAAGTCCCATAATTCATCAATACAAAAAGCAAGTATCATCAATACCTCTTAGGTTTTAGTTCAGCAAAGTACACAGACATTTAATAAAACCTGTTTTAACTAGAGGTAAGGTAAATTTAGCTTTTTGTTTGTTTGCTAGCCTGAGCTGCTAGTATGCAAAATATGAAGCTGTGATTCAAATTGTGACATACTAATTCCACCACTTTATATGTAGTTGAAATTAATTTGACTTTAAAACAAACAAACAAACAAAAAAAAACAAAAACAAACAAAAAAATACCAGGTTTTATTTCTGTGAAAGTAAAGCAATACTGGAATTTTCAGCATCTAACTTTATTAAAACTTTGTTCTCTCTTAAAGCACATAACTAAACTTAGACTGATTTAATCTTCTGCTACACGCAGCTTGCTCTTACTGCATTTTTTTTTGCCTGAAAGCAGCTCAGCATTGAGTGAAAGAGCCAACCCTCACCAGCCAGATTGCCAACTATCTTCTGGGATCCTAACAGTGTGCACATGTCTCTGCCTAGAGCTGACAGGGTGCAAATCTAACCTCTTCTAGGGCTGTGCTTATGGGTGGTAATTGAAGCAAAATTCCTACCAGAACTTTCTTGTTAGCTTAGAAAGAAAGTTTGTTCCTTCTACTGTCCTACTAAGCACACCCAGTGGCATGGAATGATTACCTCTACCTTGAATGAAGTAGGGGCTAAAGATGGTCTACCACTTGATAAACAGTTCTAAAGGTGGGTTTGTATTTTGAATATGGTTTAAAAAAAAAAGGAAGCTAGGGTATATTGCTTTTCTGCTGACCACTTGCCCAATATAAAATATTATCATTAGGAGGCAGACCAGCAGCCAAACTCCTCCCTCTGATACAACATCACACACCAGAGATCCAAAGTGCCAGAAAACTGGAGGGAAGAACAAGTCAGCTCACTCACTCACTGCAAAGAATGTGAAGAAGGGAACAAGCTGACTCAGGAACCATGCCATGGGAGACGGAACCAGCTATACAACAAGCCTAACCACATAGTACTTCCCCACAGAGACTCATGATTTTGCTCCACTGTCTTGAGAACTTGCTATGAAGAGTCAAGGAGCCCTTTGGATAACCAGAATCCCCTCGCAGCACACCCACTATACAGTCAGACCTCCCAACCCCCCCTGCAAGCAGAGTCAGCCCTTATAGAGGTGGCTTCTTGCCCCACCTTCAAGTTACTGTGGAAGGTGGGGGCACCTGGTGCTGATCTAATCAGTTCCCACCCAAGGCTGGTCAGACTTGGGTGAAAAGCCATCAGGAGGGTCTTGCTTGCCTGGTTGTGGACATCATCTATATGCCAACCCTCATTCAGGGCTGGGGGTTTAACCCCAGCACTTCACACCAGCCACCTGGTTAGTTAACACCAGAGGATCCATCAGTCGGGCCCGTCCTGCTCAGTCAGGTCCTTTGCATACAGCAGAAGGGAATAAATTTCCTGTGGTGTATGGGGAAAAGTGACTGGGTAGGCCCTGCTTCGGGCAAAGGCAAACCCATCTATGGGATTGCTTTTGCTCAAGGACCTGGAAGTGCTTGGCAGGTGATGGTCAAAGATGGTGGAATACAATGTGTACCTTGAAGGAATTTAACTCTGTGTGGGGATACTTGATTTAAAGCCATATGTTAATTGCACAACACAGTGTTCAGTAAGTGTCTTTCAAGAGCTCATAATGGTGGTGACTGGACCCAGCTTCACTGAGTGGCATCCAGTAACATCCTGAGATGAACCTGCAAGTCATGGGCACAAACCATGACAAATTCCATAACATCTTTCCTGCCCAGAGAGAATGCTGTGATAGATGGAGATCCACAATCAAGCACTTAAAAAATTTCCTGTAGAAAGAAACTATAAAATAGTGATGAGTATGATGTAAAGGGTATGGCATAATGGGTGGAACATCCTGGTTTGAACTAGAACAGAACTAATTCTGTTCAGTGATTTTACTTTTCAGCAGTCTTTTCTAACTAACTGCACTTTCTGAAGTTAATGGTGTATTTCTGCAGACAGTGTCTGTGCCTAGCAGTAGTAATGTCCGATGTCTAGAGTTACTACCAAGGATT